TATTTAGTGTTTCATACATATGAACAGTTAAGTAAAATTCTTCATTAAACGTCACTGGTATCATGCAGCGCGCACTTGACTTTCGAGTAAACAAACAATGTATATTACAAGTCTTGTATACTTTGCACGTGACCCCTAATAAACAGGATGTGTCGCAACGACTGTGACAGTTTGAAAAATAACGCAAAAAAAAAAATTAGAGAAATCTGGCACTGTGTCAGTCATTTCTCATTACTGCGATAAAATGGTTCGTTTTGACTACTTAACTTTTATTCCGCGTAAAACTCAGTGACTAAAGTCAGTACAGAGTCAGATTTACGACTCCAGTAATAGTGGGATCGTCACGATAAGTAATGTTGTTTATCATCTGTCATATTTTCATCAAAGTAGAAGGGGAAAATAACAATCATAGATCATCAACTTTAGAAATATAAATTGTATAGTGTATTAACAAGCTGTAGTCAAATAATGCAAATAATAGTATACGAGTATATAATATATTAGTATGTGTGTACATGATATACATGAAAATGATAAAATACATATGTGTTGCAAACCAACTTGTCACTGTTGATATAATATTCGGGTTAATGCTTCGCTTCATGTGATGGGGGCATTTTGATATTCTTGATTCATTGTATGATTGAAGGCGATTTTAACACGCCACGCACAGCTTACATGTAAGCCAGACTGTGTCCGTGTTATCAGGAAACACTGAAGTTCTATCTGGTCCCTTACACGCAAAACAAGCATGTTCACTATCTGTTGGTAGCTTATATGTAAGCCAGGCTATTCATATGGAAGCCATGAACAATGTGCCTTTATACTATATTATTTGCATGTTTTTGTGAATGGCTTTGTTTTTGTAAAGCAATCTGCGATTGTTTGTAATGAAAATGCTATGATTTGACACATTTTCCCCTGTTTTTACTGTGATGATATGACCGGCAGTGCTGAACTCACAGCGCCACCAGTTGAGTTACAAATGTGCGGGCAAACAAAAGAACATAAAAACAAAAATGTCGTTTATCTTGACGTGCCTCTATTCGATGCTGTAATTTATACAGCAAACGGTTGGTTTGACCTTAACTTCAACTTCTACACATCGGAGAGGATTAGTTCGATGACATGACCAGAGTGCAAAGTGTTATGCGCATATATTAGCGTCTGTCCAGTTTACAGCAATTGACATAAAACAGCGCATTCCGATCAACCATAGTAGTTGCTGCCAACACACAGTGTTCACTGCTTAACCACCTTTGCTATACATCGGAAAACAACTATTATACTGAGACCAATGGATGAGACGTCGCTAGATGAACGCTCTGCAACATCACAGGAGATTGCAATTACCGCGAATACGAAAGAAGAAGAAGCGGCGGATGATGCTCCGAGGCGCCGAGGAAGGATATTACCCGTTATGCCGCCGTTCGAGCAACGTGACAGAAGATTGTGATGATGAGTGGGATTCTTTATCCAATTTTTTCTATGTGTTTATACTTGCTCAAATATGTATCGGTATTGGTGCATCACCCATTTATACTGTTGGGTATGCATGGGTCGATGAAAACACAACACACGCAAAAAGTGGGTGGTATATGGGTAAGTAATTCTATTCTATTCTATTCTATTCTATTCTATTCTATTCTATTCTATTCTATTCTATTCTATTCTATTCTACACGAATGAATGGCGTGTTCTATATTATAACACCAATGTTTGTAACCCTAAATGATAAATAAGTTTATCTGTTATTTGTTTAGGAATTTTGAATACAATGGCTGTGCTTGGGCCTTCTACTGGGTTCATAGTCGGTGCCCTGACTCTAACATTGTTTACAGAGCTTACAGTCGAGTGAGTAGGAATAATACTGAAACCACTGCACGTGACGTTAGTACTTAAGAGTTTGTAACGAGAGAGTGATTGTTTTAGGGATAACTTCAATAAACCTTCAATGATATTAAAAACCTTTAACAATTTAACGTCATTTTTCAATAATCTTTCAGCACTGGGCTCGATTCATCTGGCAATGGCTGGATAGGGGCTTGGTGGCTAGGATTCGTTTTTGCGGCAGTATTAATATATATTGGTTAATCCAGTCAGTGCTTTTACCCCTGCACTACCAGGTAATTTACACTGCTCTCTATATTTAGAGAGATTAATAGCAGTGATAAATATGACAATGCGCGTAAGTGTCGTAGTACAATTGAAGTTTGAGGGCAATACTTCAATAGATGAGTTTTTCTCTGTGATGGTGCTGTATAATTATCAATATATTTCCATTAGTTCTAGATATGTTTTCTTCAGTAACCACCCTCCCTGAATTGCTAAAGGTCCACCCGAATGTATTAGTTACATGCCTTATTCTGATCTGTTCCAGGCACCAAATATATCAAAGATGAACGAAGGTCCCAGGCACATGCTGACGGATCAGATGTTGTTGCCCAACAGCAGGGATTTGGTAGAACATGGCGTGACTTTTGGCCGGCGTCTAAGATATTATTCAAGAATTATCCGTACATGTGGATCAACTGTGCTCGTACAACCAGTACTTTGGTTCTTTCTGGGTATACTCCGTTCACACCAAAATTTATTCAGAACCAATTTGGTCTCACGGCGGGCTCGGCAGCATTGCTCGTTGGTAATGTGTTTAATACATGTACATCTTTCTTGTAACTCTAGCGTCCTTTGGCAACAAAGCGATTGTGTGACGTCAACGTGACGAAATCGGATGTAAGCAATGTCGTTCAAAGCGACATTTTTCTTCAAGTTCATTTATTATAAATCTCTAAAAAGACATTGCTATTTATTGACGAACGGATCAATTAACTGTATTGACGGTATGAACGGTATTCCTTTTACCCATTACTTCACAGAAGCGCTTCCTCACCAGAGGGCGCAATGTTTTATTACACGGTTGAATGCAATATTATTTAAACAGGAATGATAGCATGATTGATTCACCTAAATAAAATATTTAAATCGCAAGTTAATTATAATTCACACTTTAAATGTAAAACACATTTACGAAATACATGTATATCATACTTCTTATACTAGGTGTCATATCGATTCCTGGCGCTGCACACTACTTGGTGGCTGGACTGTGAAGAAAACCAACTATGGTGTTAAAGGAAATCTTAAACTCTGTATTGCAATCTCTATTGCTACTATCGTGCTGTCGTTGTCCTACTTTCTGAGATGCCCAGATCAACCAATAGCTGGGGTGTTTAGGTCTTACGATCCAACAAAGTGAGAACTACTATCCGTTTTTTTATGTTTTACTATTGTTTCGTGTAAAACACTATACCAGATGAACGTTTTTAGTAAACCAATACCAGACTATTAATTTACCTGTCTCGCCATTCTAGCACTACTCGGTTGAGTGAGGTACAACTGGATCACCCGTGCAATGCAGGTTGCAATTGCTTCCGACGAGTGTATGTACCTGTCTGTAGTGAGATCAATGGTCTGCAATATTTTGATGGTTGTTATGCTGGATGTGAACTGACACCCGATGCGTTGGTGAGTAGTAGGCGTATACAATGAGCTCAGGATTAGTAGGCGTATACAATGAGCCCAGGATTAGTAGATATATACAATTAACCTAGCAGTAGTAGGCATATACAATGAACCCACAAGTAGTAGGCATATACAATGAACCCAGCAGTAGTAGGCGTATACAATGAGCCCAGCAATAGTAGATATATACAATGAACCCAGCAGTAGTAGGCATATACAATGAACCTAGCAGTAGTAGACATTTACATTAAACCCTTTAGTAGTAGGCGTATACAATGAGCCCAGCAGTAGTAGGCGTATACAATGAGCCCATCAGTAGTAGGCATATTCAATGAACCCAGCAGTAGTAGGCATATTCAATGGACCCAGCAGTAGTAGGCATATACAATGAACCTAGCAGTAGTAGGCATATACCATGAACCTACAAGTAGTAGGCATATTCAATGAACCCAGCAGTAGTAGGCATATACAATGAACCCAGCAGTAGTAGGCGTATACAATGAGCCCAGCAATAGTAGATATATACAATGAACCCAGCAATAGTAGATATATACAATGAACCTAGCAGTAGTACGCATATACATTAAACCCTGTAGTAGTAGGCGTATACAATGAGCCCAGCAGTAGTAGGCGTATACAATGAGCCCAGCAGTAGTAGGCATATTCAATGAACCCAGCAGTAGTAGGCATATACAATGAAACCAGTAGTAGTAGGCATATACAATAACCTACAAGTAGTAGGCATATTCAATGAACCCAGCAGTAGTAAGTATATACAATGGACCCAGCAGTAGTAGGTATA